ATTATTCATTTAGCAAATATTTATTGAGCAGTTACTCTGTACCCGGCATTGTGCTGGGCAGTAAGAACAGTGTGGCAGACACTGTTGGTTGTTGACCCAAATTCTATCTCCACTTCTTCCTTGTTCAACACACTACAGTTTTGTAAGGGCAGTGATGAATGTTGCCCTGGGGGGGGGGCGGTCAGTCCTATTCTTTTTGTCAGTGATTGGTCTAGGAGTGGCTATGTGACCCATGGTAGAGAAGTTGGCAGCTGGTAGGGAGATGGTCAAAAAAACAAAGAAGAATAACAGGAGAATTATTGTTGGCCACCTTTGCCAACTTATCCTTTTTGCCTTGGAAAACAATTTTATGGCGACTGATGCAAGGAGTGGTAGCAGCCACTTTGTGACTCTGAGGCAATAAGCCCAGAATAAAGAGCCAATATAGTGTAGAAGACAGAGCAAAAGGATGGAAGAAATCTGGATCCTTAAAAACACTATGGAGCTGCTGAATCAACTCTCATACCAGCCTTCTCTGAATTTCTAATGTGAGATAACTAAATATCCTTACTCTTTAGGCCCTTATTAATTAAGGATTCTGTTACCTGAGATGGGCAAGACGGAGCAGCTCCTGCCCTTGGGTAGTCTACAGCTTACTAGATAATGAGAGCTGGTAACAAGTAGGTGCTTTCTATAAAGTTTCTCATAATAACCCTGTCAAGCAGGTACTCTATTTCCATCCCCATTTTACAGAAAGGAAAATTGAGGCCCAGAAAGATTAGACTTCTTGCCCAAGGCCATTCTGCATGTAAGTAATGACACCAGGCATTCTGACTCCAGAGCTTGCTCTCTGAGCCACTAGGTTGGCAGCACCACCTTCCTGAGCGAGGCTGCACTGAATCCTCGCTGAGCAAATGAACGGACAAGTTGCAGCAACAGGGTTGTTGGCTGGGAAGTGACGGAGCTGTTCCCATCATCTGCACTTCCAAGATCCAGGAGTATGCAGATGTTCTTCATCTGAATCTGCAGCCAGAATTTCAGGAATCAGGCCACCCAGAGGGAAGAATCTGCATGGAACGGAATATCTAGTGGGGGCCTTGGCTCAGGAATCCCTGCTGTTAGAGCCTCCGGGTTGTGAAAGTGCCCAGCCATCCTCACCACCATCATCCCAGTCCAGGCCCCATTACCTCTGGCCTGGGTGGGCAGTTGCAGAAACCTCCTGGTGGGTCTTCCTGCTGCCACCTTCTGACCCCCGACACTCCGTAATGCACACAGCAGTGGGAAGAATCACTTCAAGGCATAGCTCAGCAAATGGGACTTTTCTGCTTAAACCTCTGTCGTGGCTTTTCTTTTTTTTTTTTTTAAATTAATTTTTTTTATTGATTATGCTCTTACAGTTGTTCTATTCCCCCCCTTCATTCCCCTCCACCCTACCCCCCATCCCCACCATTACCCCCCCTTTAGTTTATGACCATGTGTCTCAAGTTCTTTGGATTCTATATTTCCCATACTATTCTTGCCCCCCATCTATTTCTATCTACTGTCTATGCTACTTATTTTCTGTACCTTCTCCCCCCTTCTCCTCCTCCCACTCCCCTGTTGCTAACCCTCCTTGAGATCTTCATTTCTATGTTTCCACTCCTGATCTAGCTGTCCTTTTAGTTTGCTTTTATTTTAGGTGTGGTTGTTAATAACTGTGAGTTTGCTGTCCTTTCACTGTTCATGTTTCTTTAACTTCTTTTTCTTAGGTAAGTCCCTTTAACATTTCATATAATAAGGGCTTGGTGATGATGAACTCCTTGATCTTATCTGAGAAGCACTTTATCTGTCCTTCCATTCTAAATGAAAGTTTTGCTGGATAGAGCAATCTTGGTTGTAGGTCTTTGGATTTCATGACTTGCAATACCTCTTTCCAGCCCCTTCTTGCCTGTAAGGTGTCTTTTGAGAAATCCGCTGACAGTCTGATGGGAAGTCCTTTGTAGGTGACTGTCCCCTTAGCTCTTGCTGCTTCTAGGATTCTCTCCTTCATTTTAATCTTGGCTAATGTAATGATGATGTGCCTTGGTGTGTTTCTTCTTGGGTCCAACTTCTTTGGGACTCTCTGAGCTTCCTGGATTTCCTGGAAGTCTATTTCCTTTGCCAGATTGGGGAAGTTCTCCTTTATTATTTGTTCAAATAAGTTTTCCACTGGTGGCTGTGCCTTTCCCCCTTCTGGTACCCCTATAATTCAGATGTTGGAGCGTTTAAAGATGTCCTGGAGGTTCCTAAGACTCTCCTCATTTTTTTTGAATTCTTGCTTCTTCACTCTTTTCTGTTTGGCCATTATTTGCTTTCTTCTGGTCCACTCCCTGGATTTCAGTCCCAGTTTCCTTTTCATCGCTATTGGTTTCCTGTGCAATTCCATTCATTTCAATTAGTTTCGCCTTCATATGTTTGTCTAATTTGTGGCTATAATCAACCAGTTCTGTGAGGATCTTGATCACCAGTGTTTTAAACTGTGCGTCAGAGAGTTTTGCTATTTCTTCATCGCTTAGATTTATAGGCTCTGGGGCTTTGAGATCTTCTTGAGCCATTTTTGGTGTGTTCGAGCCTGTTAAGTGCGGGAAGCGGAGCCTTGGACTCCCAGGTCGCTGGGTTATGACGCTGTATGTGGAGGCGGGGTCAGAGCAGGGAAATGGCGGCCCCCTCTGCTGTCTGTTTCTCGCAGCTGGGTGAAGAGCAGAGCTTTAGGGTGTTCACCGGAGCAGGGCCACTTAGGTCGCTGGATTATGACGCTGTATGTGGAGGCGGGGTCAGAGCGGGGAAAATGGCGTCGCCGCTTGCCGCTGGCGCTGCTGGCTCTCGTCCAATCGCCCACTCCCTCGCTTGTCTATCCACACACGAATGTGAGAATACGCGACCACAGTCAACCTGCAGCCCTGCTCCCTCGCTGTTTCCCCGCGGTCGCTTGGTGAGTTTCCCACCAGGTCCAACCCTGCGCCTGGATTCCGCGAGCCCGAGTCCATCTGACCGAGTTTTCCTGTGCTACCCTGCTCTGCCAGCTGCTGTTTTCGCCCCTCTTACCGGTCAGGCTGAAGAATTTGTTGTTATCAGACTTCTGAAAGGTTCAATTTTCTGTGTTCTGGCTGTGTTTTCTGTTGCTATTATTTAGTTGTCTGTGAACTTGGTTGTGTGAGGAAGCACGGCTTCTCCACCTATGCCTCCATCTTGGCGGAAGTCCTGTCGTGGCTTTTCATAAGGCTTTCTAAGCTCAAACTCATTTCTTAACCTTTAGTAGAAAAATCCCAGTGAAGCTCTGCGTGGCTTGGCCCTTTCCACCTCCGTAACGTCCCTTTCTAAGCTCATTTCCATCTTCGGGCTTTTCCTGTTTCGGTTTCCCTTGCCTGTACGCCCTTCCTCAGAACTTCACACAGTTAGTTGTCTGCTTTCTGCCCTCAGGTTCTCGGGGCAGGATGTATCACCTCCTCCAGGAAGCCTTCCTGGCCTGACCACCCTATCTAAAGTCGCTGATGCCTCTCTCAGGCAGGCTCTTTCACTTCCTCTTGTTTACTTTCTTCCTGGCATCTGTCATAATCTAAATGATCAGTTTATTTCTTTTCTTGTTTCTTAACTGCATTCCTCACCAGACTATACATAAGAACTGCCTTTTTTATTCTCAGTGTATCTCCAGTGTCTAGAGTAGTGCTTGACCCATAATAGGTGCTCACTAATTACTGGTTGAAAGAATAGCCTTTCCAGACCAGGACATGCCATGGCATTCTGTTAAATTAATTCAGGGTTTCTCAGCCTTGACACTGTTGCCATTCAGGGCTGGAGAATTCTCTATGGTGGGGGGCCTGTGCCACATGCTGGAGGGGTTTTAGCCACATCTCTGGCCTCTGCCCACAAGATGATGGCACCTTGGACAAGAATCATGAGAAGCTAACAGATTTAAACTATGTAATAATATATTCAACTCTATGGGGGGGAAATCCCTTTACATTTACAAGTTAAGGAAAGGGTCAGAGAGGAGAGGACCTTACCTTGGGGCCTAATGGCTTATTCACAGCTTTTCTCCTCCAGGGCAAGGAGCTCACTGCCCATTTACTTGTCATGCAGTAAATGTGCACATGAAAGAATAAATGAGTGAGTGGTGGGGGAGGGGCAACTATGACATCCTTAGGGAAAGCTTGCTGACTTCTGTGGGTAAGGGCTTCAGTTCTATATTCACTTTGGGGGATTGTTGATTAGTTCTGCCTGCCCCATTAGACAGGAGGCCCCAAGGGAAGTCATCTCTTTTACGGAGCCTGCCACAGGGCCTGGCGCACAGGAAGCTCTCAGCAGCTGGCTGTCCATCATAACGAGTGAGAGTGAGTGAACGAACGAAGGAATGACCAGGACAGATAAACCAGCTCTCCCCTCACTCTCTCTTCCCCTCACCTTGCTTTATTTTCCTTCTTCGCAGTTATCTCCAACTGCCGCATGGCATATTGGTTGATGTATTCATTGTCCACATTCCCCCACTAGAATCTATTTTAGAATTACATTTTAGAATCTAGAATGGAAACTCATGAAAGCAAGGGCTATTTAAAATTGCAGCCTGACCCCAGCCCCCACCTCTACCCCCTCCTTTGCTTTATTATCCCCCAGAGCGCTCATGGCTCTCTGACATCCTTTGCCTTTGTTTTCTTCGCTCTGTCTCTAGCCAGCTCCAGGAGGTGCCCAGGTGCCCAGTGTTTGTGTTTGCTTGAATGCTGTACCTCAGACGCTCATCCTAGTGTCTTGCACACAGTAGGCATTCACCTCACACTGTTGATAGGACTAAGAAAGGCAGGACTGCCAGGAAGGCAGGGGAGGTAGTCCAGGTGGAAAGGTGAGGACTGCCAGGCTCCTCCTCGCCCGAACCCCAAGCCCGCCCCCAAGCTCGGCAGCAGGCCAGGCTGGGCAGGCAGGAGTTAAGCGGCGCGCACGCTTGCTACCCGCAGGTGGCGCCGTCCCGCCTCGGTGTCGGACTCTGGGAGCTCTGAAGTGTGGGACAGAATCACAGGGAACGCGGAGCCGAAGCTCAGCCCCGACTTGTTGATCTCGCCCAAGCAGCCGCTGCCGCCGCCTCCGGAGCGGGAGGAGGAGGAGGTGGAGCAGGAGTCGCCTCCAGAACGCGGTCCTGCCACCCGCGCCCGCAGCGCCCGCCTGCGCCCCCAACCTCGGAGAGCTCGTCCGGCTTCGCAGCGCCTGCAGCCCCGGAGAGGCGCCTGCCCGGCCGGCCGGCATAGGCCGGGCCCGGCCGGGCCCCGGGTCCGCCGCTGCCCGCGGGCCGGGGTGCTCCGGCGGCCGGGGCGATGCCCGGTCCCTGGCCCCGGGAGGCGGCCGCCCTGAGGGTGAGTGTTGGGGCGTGCGGCCGCGGCGAGGGCGCAGGGGGACGTGAGTGGGGGACTCGCCTACCGCGCGGCTCGGCCTGTTGGTCTACCCAGGCTCAACGGCTCCAGACTGGGGTGGGTGGGAGTGGGGGTGGGGGGCGTGCGGACAGGGGCTGGGGCTTGCGGAGATGCACGGTATCATTCCAGGGCGAGGGGAAAGGGCGTGAGCTTCACTGCCAGGGGGCTCAGAGGAGCCCCCGAAATCACCAGTGCGCGGCAGGAGGAGGGCACGTTTTGAAAAGGCCAGAAAATTCAGCTCGTTTCCCCGCCTCCTACCTCCCCCACCCCCTTCCCTTCTAAGCCCCGGGAAAGGCGCAGAACCCGGAGTTATAAAAAGCCATCGCAGGAGAGGAGCGAGGAGGAGGAGGAGGAGGAAGAGGAGGAGGGGGTGGGGAAGGAGCGAGGGGAAGACGGAGCAGGTGGATCCCCAGGACTCTGCGCGCTCCTCCTGCGGTGGGTTAGGGGCACGGTGGGGAGGGCCGTGTGGGAACCCGCGCTTTGCGGTTCCAGGGCTCATCTTGTCGCCGGAGCGACCTCAAGATATACTCCCGCGGCTTGGGGAAAGGGGTCGCTCCACAACAGTGCGGGTCTGTCGTGACCACACACGGTCACGGACACACACGGAGGTCTGTTGTGACCTCCGACAGGTGGGCACCTGAAGTCCTCCAGAATCCCCCAAATTTTTAAGGTTTAGAAAAAGCAAACCTGCTGCCATCTGCCATCCCCCAGCCTTCAGATTCTAATTATCCCGGAACATGGGGAGGAAAAGATGCAAAGTCTTTTTTTTTAAAAAAAGTTTTTCACGCAGCTCCCCTCTCTCCCCATTCCGGGGCCAGGTTCGGGACTCGACGGGGACACCCAGAGAAAAGCGAGTTTCAGCACTCAAAGGGGCGGACAGCGCCGCGGGCGGCCGGGTCAGGCCTGGGCCTCAGAAACTCGGGTGGGGCCTCCCGGGTCCCTGGGGCGCCTCTTGGGGGCCCCCTCCCCGCTCCAATGGGCGGCTAGTCACTCCATCCATGGGGTGGGGCGGACTTCAGCACCGACAGGAGGGACAGCGCCCAGGCTTTCTGCCCCCCTGAGCTGCTTAATCTCTGGGAAGGTCAAGGCCAGCTGGGGCCCGGCTGGGGCCCGGCTGGGGAGGTATGGAGGGGCCGTGCCTTCCTGTTTGCTTACCTGCATCCGCTTTCTGCCTCGTAGCCGTCGGGATGGAGGTGAGAAGACGGCCATAAGGCGCGCCCGCGTGGCCCCCTGCACCCGCAACAGCCCACAGCGCTCCCTGCCCCCCTCCCCCACTGCGGCCGGCCTTGCCGTCCTGTGACAGCGGCCTGGGGGGGCAGGGGGGGAGGGGGCGGCCGGACCAGAGATGCCGGCGGGCATGACGAAGCATGGCTCCCGTTCCACCAGCTCGCTGCCGCCGGAGCCCATGGAGATCGTGCGCAGCAAGGCGTGCTCTAGGCGCGTCCGCCTCAACGTTGGGGGCCTGGCGCACGAGGTGCTCTGGCGCACCCTGGACCGCCTGCCCCGCACGCGGCTGGGCAAGCTCCGTGACTGCAACACGCACGACTCGCTGCTCGAAGTGTGCGATGACTACAGCCTCGACGACAACGAGTACTTCTTTGACCGCCACCCAGGCGCCTTCACCTCCATCCTCAACTTCTACCGCACTGGGCGGCTGCACATGATGGAGGAGATGTGCGCGCTCAGCTTCAGCCAAGAGCTGGACTACTGGGGCATCGATGAAATCTACCTGGAGTCCTGCTGCCAGGCCCGCTACCACCAGAAGAAGGAGCAGATGAACGAGGAGCTCAAACGCGAGGCCGAGACCCTGCGCGAGAGGGAGGGTGAGGAGTTTGATAACACGTGCTGCGCGGAAAAGAGGAAAAAGCTCTGGGACCTACTGGAGAAGCCCAATTCCTCCGTGGCTGCCAAGGTGAGCCTGGGATCTGGGGCTGCTGGGCTGGGGGACTCCTCCTGTGTCCCCAGGTTGATGACCTCTGCGGGGGAACTCGGGTCTTCTGATACGAAGACCAGAAACGGGGAGGGGCTATAGCCAGAGACCTTGGAGATAAGGACCAGCCCCTTCGGACTGATCCTATGTGGTATTGGTCACCCATCCTTTTATTATTCAATACTTTATACCCTGACTTATTTGGAGAAAGGGATTCATGGAGACTTATAAGAACCCACACAGCAGGAGATGGATACTGCAAACGAGGAAGAGAGCACAGAGAAGCAATTAAGCCTTGCCAGGGCATGTAGAGAGCTGTTTGGTCTATTCCACACAGTGCTTCCGAGTGAAGAAGTCCCAGGCTCAAGCCTGAAGGGTATCGCCCTGTGATTTTAATTTATCCCTCAATTTATAACCCCACTTTGCCTCAAGGAGGGAATTAAAGCAGCTTACAGACTTGCTTGGAGGATATTGAGATACTGTCAGGAAGTTTTTTACTTTAAAATCCTCACCCAAGGATATGTTTATTGATTTGAGAGAGAGAGAAAGGGTGGGGGGGGTTGATTTGTTGCCTCTCCTATGGGCCCTGATGGGCGATCAAACCCACAACCTAGGTATATGTCCTGACCAGGAATCGAACCTGCAACCTTTTGGTGTACGGGACAAGCTCCAACCAAACTGAGCCACTGGCCAGGGCCAGGCAGTTTTAACATAAGTAAGCAAAATGAGGCAAAGGGACTCTGAGAGGTGGGTGTGTGTGTGCATGACGCATGCAGCTGGCTGCGGATGCTTGTGGGCGAAGAAGGGTCACCCTCTGATTTGTTCTTTATTTATGTGGTGAGCTTATTCCAAGAATGGTTTGATGCAGGTTGTAAAGTTGCTTTCGCCATTGGAAGGAGATGTAAATTTCAGAACAGGAGAGAAGAATAGGCGATGTGGACAATAAAGCAGGAGGCAGGGATGAGTTTTATTACATTCTGGGAGCCAGGGGTCCTGTGTGCTGCCAGGTAAAGGCCAAGGGTATAAGGGACTGAGAGGCTTTGGGTGGGGGCCAGGCCAGAATGGGAGCGACTTCTCTGTGTCCTATGGGGATTCGGGGCTGCCTTGAAGAGTCAGGGGCCTGTCTTCCTGCAGCCAGTGTGCCAGCTGTCAGAATAAAGGACAACACAGTACGTTCGGCCCCATCAAGGAGTTCATCTGGGCCCCAGGGAGAGGCCAGAAAAGGGAGGCGTTGATGTCAAAATCCAGGAGGACGCAGTTGGAAAAGACGTGTTGAACATAACTCGCCCTCTGAGAGCAGAGCCAAAAAGCAGCGTGGGGCGGGGGGTAGGTCGGTGTATTCATGGAAGAAGAGGGAGAAAGGAGGAGAAGGAAGCCCGTGTGGCAGCCGTGATGTCCTAGCTAGGGCTGCCTTCACCCAGCCTGGCCTCTCATTGTGTGGGACCCCCCGGCTCAGTTAGCTCCTCCCCGAAGGCTCAGTTGCAAAGCCAGATCTGAAGGGGACCCTGTGGGGTCCTTTCCCCAGATCTGACTACCCAAGGAGACATTTTGGGAGGTGGGGGTGGGATGTGGGAGGAGTGTGGAGGAAAGCCTGCAGGTTTTCCCTCCTCCCTGGCAACTCTGAAGAGGACACATTCTGAGGCTGTGAGCTGTCTCTGGTCATAATCCTGCCCCAGGTTTCGTGTCCAAAAACCCTCCCTCTTAAGACAGAGTCGCTCACCCTTAACCGGCTTAGGATCAACAGACTTATTTTGCTATTTCCAGGCCTGACACAGGTCCCTGCCCTCCACATCCTGTTTGGGCCCAGACGTGACTCTCCCTCCTCCCCGCCCTGTCCCCTAAGACAGGAGATTGAGGGGCAGAGCAGGGGAGGGTCACAGGCAAAGGCAGTGCGTAGGTTGGCATTTGGAAGCCCCAGCTTGCAAAAGACACTGTTCGGGAATAAACAGCCTCATCTCTCCTTTGGGTTAATCCACTTGCAGGGACAGCTTTGTGACCTCTCTGTGATCCCGGGCTCAGCCAGCACACATTCCTGGCAGATGGACGGTCCGGGATATTCTGCAGCGAGAGCTGAAATGGGAAGGCAGGCCAGCTCATTGGCTCTCAGTATAGAAATCCTGACTCTCACTGATCAAACACCCACTGTGTTAAGAAGTATAACAATGCAATTAGTCCCTATACGGATTCTCTATTATTATCTCACCTTTCTCAAATAGGAAGGCTCAGAGAGGTTAAGTAACTTGCCCAAGGTCACACAGCAGGCAACACAGCAGTGCCAGAAATTCAAACTCAAGTGTGATTTTAAAGACCCTGTTCTTTCCATCATGAATAAGCGATGTAGCCTCCTTCCCATTCTCTGTTTCCACTCCTGCCCCTTGCAATCCACTACCCACACAGCAGCCAGAGTGAGCTTTCCAAAATGTAAATTGGATCCCATCGTTCATCTGCTCAAAATCCTCCAGAGGTTTCCCATCTCACTCAGAATAAAATCCCAACCTTCGCCAGGGCACCCCAGACCCCACAGAAGCCAGGCCTGTGACCTCTCTGAGCTCAGTTTTTCTACTCTCCTCTGGTTCACTCACTCCGCCCCCGCCTAAACGGGTCAGGCTTTATCCTGCCTCAGGCCCTTTGCACTTGCTGCTCCTGCTACTTAGAATGCTCTTTCTCACATTGGCTCACAGCCAGCCACTTCTCATTTCTCATTTAAGCAGGCCCCTGCCCGAACAGCCCCTCCTCAGAGAGACCGTTCCTGAGCCCTGTCGAAAACGGCCGCCTTCCCCTTAGTCTCTGTCCCATCACGAAATGTCTGTGCTGCACAGGCTGGAAGCCCCGTCTGAAATGGTATCTGCGTCCTTTTGTTTCTCTGTTTCTCCCACACATGAGTGTGAGCGCCGTGAGCTGGATTTACTGCTCCGTTCTCAGCACCCATCACGGTGCCTGGCATAGAGAAACTCAAATAACTACATGTGGAGTAAATGAATGGGTCAAGCAATCAGTCAGTCACTGTGTCTCAGGGTTTGGGGGAATCTGTGATGTCTTCCTCACTGCCTGCCTGCACCCCAGGTCTCTGTGCTCGCCTCACCACCCCCCACCCAATTTGGATGCCTTGCTGGTCAGGCAGCTAGGCCTGTGGAAACTTCACAGAGGCCACAGAGGCCAAGGAGAGGGTAAAATGGAGGAGCGTTCCTGAGTGGTTGTGAGATTCACAAATCTCACACATCTAAGAGCAAGAACATACCAGGGGTGCAGGCCCAGGTCTCGCTTCCTCCCTAGTTTCTGGCCTTAGGCAAGTTCTTCAAGGCTCCAAGCCCCAGCCCCCACCTGTGAAATGGAGGTAAAAGTCCCGTCCCCCCCCCCCCCCCCCGCAGAGTCATATGAGTGTTTGCCAAATCACACAGTAGGAAGGCGGCCTGTTGTTGTAAATATAAAGAGCTGAGTTCTCTCTGCACGGCTGGGTGGGCTGAGCTGCGGCAAACCCTTTCCCTCTGCTAGCGGTACCGGGAGGCTGAGCTGTCGCTGTTAATAATTGATGGGCTGTTCTGGCAACGCAGAGACAACCACAGAAGCGCAGGCACTAGCCTTCGCCGTCAGGGGAGTGAAAAATCAAAATCCATTAGGCAAAAGCTAGTGTGATTGATTCTTGTTTGGAACTGGGGTCAGCCCCAACAGAGTGAAAGGGTTTCGGTGCTGGGCCACCACTGGGTTTCCGCTTTCTCAGAAAACTACAGGCTTTCTCAGTAGGAGAAAGCGGGAACTAATTCACCAGGCTAGGAGCATCTGTGTTCCCCAGAGCCATCTCTGGGTCCAAGCCCTAAGATAACTCCTTAATATCTGGAGAAGCTGCGGCTTACTGTGCCAGGCACTGATTAGTGGAACTTTACATCCACCATCCCATTGAAATCCCTTCAGCAATTCAGACAGTCAGCTCATTTGGGCTGCAAGTAACAATAAAAAAACTTGAAGTGGTTTCTACAAGGAGGAAGATGTATCATCCCACATAACAGGAAGGTTCAGGGTAGCTGGTTTCGGGATAATGGCTCCATGGTGTCATCAGGATTCTAGATTTTTTTTTTCATCTTTCAGCTCCTCCAGCTCCTGCAGGTACCTTGGTCATCAGGCTTGATGCCTCATATCACAAAATGGCTGCCCAGTTCCAGCCTTCCAGTGTTGACAACACAATATCCAACCAGTGACATGGGGCATCTCATCCTTTGAGCCATGTTTTCCCCTGAGATAAACCTTTCCCCAGAACCCCCTTAAATCCCATTGGCCAGGATCAGGTCACATGCTCATTCTACAGGGAAGCCTGGGAAAGCCCATGTCTGGCATTCTCAGATGAAGGAGAGAATGGATTTCATGAATGGTGTTAAGACTCTTACAAAGAAGAAATAAATGGAGGTGCTAAGTGGTGCAGTCACTTGTCGGAGCACACACAGCTAAGTCCTCAGTAAATATTTGTCAAAGGAAGGAAAATGGCAGAGCCAGAGTTTGAACCCAGGGGCGTCTGGTTCCCAAGCCAGTGTTTCCTAATCCTGGAATCATTCAAGCTCGGTGAACTCCTCTGCTCAATGATGACCCACTTCTTTGGGCTATTTTCATGATTCAGTGATATTTCAGATATAAATGTAATTTGCAAATGGAAAGCACTTTATTAGCGTGAATTTTTATAATCAAAAGAGGGAGTATTCTTGATTTAGGGACAGTGGTCAGTAGTTTGCCCACCACAGACTTGATTAAGAATCAACTCAGGAGTCCAGCAGGTGTGGTCTGTTCCGTCCTACCAGGAATATGACAGATCCCTTTCCTTCTCCGGGTCTCAGTTTCCTCATTTAGGAAAGGGAGCCCACCGTGCAGGGCCATTAGGAGACAATCTGCATAAAGAGCGTGGGCCAGTGCCCAGCACCTGGTAAGCATTCAGTAAATGACAGTGGCGATTGCTAGCGTCATCACCGAATTCTTCTAGTCTGGCTACCTCCGTGGCT